ATTAAGGTACATAAGCTTAGGTTTAGTTAAATTTAATTAATGGGCTTTCAAGAAAGAACTAATGATCCGGTTAATTTGAATTCTACTGTATTTTCTGTTTCGTACTTGTATGAGGAAGAATTGTGGATGACTAAGTACTCAAGTTTATGGATAATGTTTGCATTGAGTGATAATGTTTATTCAGAATTTCTCAAAAAACACATACTAGTCAGCTTCAAGGACGCTACTATATTTGTTCAAATCTTTAAGTTATGTAGCAAAGGTAAACGAGATCACTTCCCAGGAGAGGGGAATCCTAGTGTGAAGTTCAGACATATGCACCCCTCGGACTTCCAGGTACTTAATGAGAGATATCTGTTTATCAGAGACAGAATGGACAGCAGACGTTAGGAAGGAAGGTGTAGCGGTAATCCCCCCCCGGTGTGGTTTCCGGACATAAGGGACTAATTATTTTCTTTCCAGGTTTTAACAAAACGAGGAGAGAGCTTTGTGTAAAAAGGCTTTTGATGCTGTAAAAGAGTGAAAGCAGACGCAATTTTAGCGTCGTCGCCGCGTCAGCGGCCTTTTTATGAATTAAGGCTGTAAAGATTTGAGTAGTTTAATATTTATTTAAGAATTTCTTATTAAGTTTCAAAATAAATATTTCAAAAGACAACCTGCCTTTCCTTTCACCCAACGCGGTGTTCTGACGTTACAGCTTTATTAAAATGGTGGCAGCGGTTCAGATGAGAAAATCCATGCAGAGATTACAGACCATCAGGTTCTGAATTTCCACGAAGTTACTTTATTTGAAATACTTTATTTGTAAGTGTTTGAAATACTTTATCGAAGTTACTTTATTTGAATACAGTTCATCGTTAAGCTGCTTGGATCGGAAATCCACGGAAACGTTTACGGACGCCAGTCCAGATAAAGTAGAACGACAATCTCCTGAATACACCTCATCTTCAGCAGCATAAATTGTGCAATCATCTTGTATTCGAGAAAAATTAGTGCAGAAGTATGCGGACAAGCCTTGTCCGAAGATCATTAGATCATGGTGAAAGTGCAGTGTAGTGAGAAAAAAATTGATAGTTGTGCGATCATCTTTGTATCTGAAAAAATAGTGCAGTGCAGTGTGTTCTTTGCCCGAAGATCATCAGATTATTGTGAAGGTGTAAAGTGTTGAAGAGTGTCGGAATCATCAGCATCTATATATTGGTGAGGCGGGTAAGTACCTTGGATTTTTATATTGAGGCAGTTAAGTAATTTGATTTATTTCTGCAATTTTGTATAAGTTCACATGACTGTTTTAAGTCAACTTTGTTTTCTATAAAGCTTGAAGAAATGTGCTATTTAGGTTTTATGTTACAATAAGAAAGTATAACTTTTAGAATTTAAATCTGTGTTAATAGTTTTTTTTTAATTTCTGAAATGTTAATGTGTTGTGCTCAAATTAAGCTTATATAACTGAATGTGTAAAGGAGAAGAATTACTGTAACCTTGAAGGTTCTAAGGTTAGGTGGCATTCTGTCATTCATTTCTAAGACGTTCTGAATGTTATAAATATTAGAATTTTTTCAGTTAAGGTGTGTCAAACATTATTTGTGTAAGAACTGAAAAAAAATTTTTCTCTTGAATGAGTAAAAGGGGAATGCTAGAAATCCCCAGTATTTTTCTCTTTAACGGTTGTCATATTAATGTTTAGTTATGAGTATGAAGATATATGCTTTTTATAATTAACCTTTGAATGCATATTTTAATATACCTCAAATTTTGATGAAAGTATATTGTATTATCACAAGCAATTAAGTTTAACGCAACTGAATTTGAAGCTTTTTAAGAGGTACTATTATCTGTAGTGTAATAAGTCCTCAAGTAGACAAATTTTTATTTGAACGCATAAATGTGCATATTATAGGGTAAAATGTCTTGTTTTTGTTTAAGATCTGTAAACAAATGTTGTGAAAAAAAATTAAGGGTTCAATTTTACTCTCTATTTGTGAAATGATATTTGTTTAAATCAATTTTATATATATGTAGTGTGAGGGAGCTAAAATTGTTAGGTTATTATCATAATTTTGTTTTATATCATGGCATTCTTAGCAAAAGTTAGGAAAGAGGATCTTAAATCCTTGGCTGACAGTTAGGGGGAAAAGTTAGCCCTGAACTTAGGATATTGGATTTAAGACAGCTGATTATGGGAAATGAATCCTATGAGGATGAACTAGTGAAAGGCCTGTTAGAAAATATCACTTCAGAAATGCAGGATAGAAGTAGGAGAGGAAAAGAAGAAAGGCAGGAAAGAATTAGGAGAGAAGAAGAAGAAAGATAGCAAAGAATTAGGAGAGAAGAAGCAGAGAGGCAGCAAAGAATTAGGAGAGAAGAAGCAGAGAGGCAGAATAGAGTTAGGAGAGAAGAAATGGAGTTTCAATTATCCAAATTAAGATTACTAGCCGCTAACGGAAATGACTCTCTAAATGGTGGGAATGGAGAAAATAAATTTAAGAAAAGCCGTATCTAAAAAAAAAAAAAGATTCCAAAATTTGATCTTGAAGAGAACGACATTAGTTTGTATCTAGTCATGTTTGAGGGCCAAGCAAAGCGTGCGAATCTTCACCAATCAGAATGGGTTTCGGTTTTATTGACAATTTTGCCAACTGACATAGTTCAGCTGATTATGCGAGAACCAGAGCAGCAGGGTTATGACTACGATTACGTAAAGAGAATATTGCTTAAAAGGTTTAAGCTTAGTCCAGAAAAATTTCATATCAAATTTACGGAATCCCAGAAAAACACTCTAACCACTTGGAGAGATTTTGCCTTTGAATTAAGGAATTGTTTTGAAGAATGGATCGCAGGTTTGGAAGTTACAGATTTTGAACTTTTAAAAGATCTCATGATAACGGACCAAATGAAGCGTCTCGTAAAGGTCGAAGTTCGGTTTTATTGTATATGTATAATTTAGTTCTCAGTATTATGTTGGTTATATGTTTTTTTACTGGCCTCAATATATAGTTCTTGTTATGTTTATCCTTGATACTTAGCGTTGTGAAAAAAAAGTATTAGGGCTAATAATTATTAGTTAGTTTTATTACTAAGACTTGCTGTGCTGAGGTACGAGGAAGTGGAGTTCTGAAACCCCCCCACCCCCGGGGAGGGTAGGAGTTGTGACTTTCAGACATATGCACCACTCAGACTTCCAGGTGCTTAATGAGAGATATCTGTTTGTCAGAGACAGAATGGACAGCAGACCTTAGGAAGGAAGGTGTAGCGGAAACCCCCCGGTGTGGTTTCCGGACATAAGGGACTAATTATTTTCTTTCCAGGTTTTAACAAAACGAAGAGAGAGCTTTATGTAAAAAGGCTTTTGATGCTGTAAACGAGTGAAAGCAGACGCACTTTAGCGTCGTCGCCGCGTCAGTGGCCTTTTTATGAATTAAGGCTGTAATGATTTGATTATTTAAATATTTATTCAAGAATTTCTTATTAAGTTTCACAATAAATATTTTAAAAGACAACCTGTCTTTCCTTTCACCCAACACGGGTGTTCTGACGTTACACTAGGATCTCGTTTCTCCCTTACACTCGTTCAGAAAACTTTCAAGACAGCCTTCGCATTGATGAGCTTTAGTTAATTCCGCATCCTTCAAGAACATGGTAGTCACAAATATCAATGTTATTTCCGGCATTTAAACTGGATCAAAGGCGTGTACAGTTTATCTCCACCAATCACCTTACCGTTTGGAACTTGCTTTGTCTGTTATTAAAATCGCTCCTGTCATAAATTTATTTTTTCATTTTTTTGTCTTCTCCCCAAAATATTATCTCATTTAACACAAATTGTGAAATTCATGCAAAAATTTGAATATTTAGTCCAAATGTATTACTTTTCTAATTGTTGCCACCAAATATTAGAGTCCCGCATTATATTTGAAGAAATTAAATAATGAAGAATCTGCATAAATGTATGTATGTTTTTCGCATTGTGATAAAACAACGGTACCTAGAGCCATCCAATTTTGAATGACGTAATTCTGATGCGAATATGGGCACCTGAAAGCCCAAATTTAAAATTTGGAATTTGTTTTATTATCGATTTCATATTTTGTAAAACTTTAACGAATTTTTGGTTAACATACTCAACGATTTAAAAGCGAGCAATGGCAACAGTCTATGGGGGGGGGGAAACCTTTTTATCTCCAACGCGCCGAACTGTGTATCGGAAATTCTAAAGATATGCTCATTTTAAAATTATTTTGCGACATTGCTGTTGAACTGAACTTTATGGTGTAAGTGCAAAGAACATGATATTTAATAAATAAAGGTAACACACAAAATGTTAAAAAAACGCCCCTTTAGACGTAATCTAAAATCTAAAACCTTTCAGTTTTTTTTTTCTTTTTTTTTTTTTCCCAGAATAATTTTCTCAAACGTTCATACTTTTTATTAATATGATACTACATTTGGAGTTATTAGTAACTATACGTTTGCCTCTTTCATGCTTAAATGAAAATTTGGTTTAGTTGGTTCCTTTATTCAGGTAAAGTACACTGGGGCTATCTGGTTAAGAGATATATTGAGATTTTTGGTAGATGACTTTCTAAAAGTAACTGGATTGTGTTTATGTCACCACATGGGGAAAACAGGGAAACTTCCCGCAGAGAAGTAGAGAAACGGTTACTGGGATCGTTGAAATAGTCTCACGTCTCTCAATTTAAATCATACAGAGCGTTGATTCGGTAAAGTTAGAAAGGATTAAGCCTTGTGAATAAAGCATGTCGAATGTCGAAAGAGCTCTCTTATGTCAAACACTTAGTTGTGAACGCGAAAGGAAATTTTCTGGAAAGAAATCATTTTAGAACAGCATACATAGTGTGACTATAGCTTTTACTATGCAATTATGTGTGTCATTGAACTTGATGTCTCTGATGTAAAACCATGACTGAGAGAAGCGTTTTAGAATTCTCTCAAAGTTTTCGGTTCAGTTTAAGCGACTTAATAATAAACACCATAATACATTTTATCGAATAACCATTTATAAATACGTCATAATTATCTCTCTGTAAATCACCAAACGGGTGAAACAAATTATACGTCACTTCTTTGCTTATCGCATTCATACAGAGCGTTGATTCGGTAAATGTCACTTTCGCTCAATTTGGTTTTCTTGATGAGATCCGTAAGTCTGATTCTTCTGTTCTTGACCTTTAAAGTCCTGTGATAGCCGTCTTTAGAGGAAGCCCTCTCTCCGTACATCATAATGGAATTAAAGTCTATTTTGTTAAACAACCGACTTTCTTCCGGCTTTAATTTGTCGAACTGGTTTACTGCACCTGAAAAATTAACCAAATTAAACAAAACTGTTAAGTGGTGCGCAAAGTTGTTTTTCTAAGCTGAGGAATTTACATATAGAAATATCTTTTATTACTTAGAGTGGCTGCGGAATGTTCATAGAAATGATCAATTTGATGAGTATAATAATGAATCTTTTCGTGGGGACCATCTCTTATACATGACGATTTCAAAAGTCTGTAAGTAGTATTTCTGGGCACATAAATTAAACATCACCTTACTAAGATGATCATCTCCACCGACTATCAAATTCATCTGGAACCATAAGTGGCTGTCTTAGAGAGAATTCGCTGTAAATATCATATTAGATTAGTTATTAGATTAGTTCTAAATTATAACAGTTATCTAAGCTTTAAAAAATAAAGGAATAAATTATTAAGAGAACACATATAGCTTTTATAAATCCCAGTTTCTTAAGCAATATACAGGTTTAAATCAAAATTTAAAGAGCTTATGTTACGCGTAATGTAAACGCTTCGGAAAAATGGCCAATTTGGTAGAACACGTGGATGATAAATGGTAGCCCCCGCAGGGTACGATAGCACAAAAATTTATAAAAACTCAACTATAGATACTACTAACGTCGAAAAATTAATTAATTAAAAAAATTGAAAGGATTCTGATTTTAATATCGTGCTAGAGGATTTTTTTATGCTCTCGCTGAGCTCACAGTTTAACATTCTGCTCTTGAACTCACTCCTGCTAACACAGCTTTTTTTGTCTTTTTAACTTATTGTTAAATATCACTTTCTTCGTACTTATGTGACGTAAAATCCATAGCAAAACCATAATATTTTTAGAATTCCCCACAGAGGGGGGGGGGAGTGTTGCCATATGATTTTTTCAGTGTTTTCTTAGTTTAGTATTTATGTAAAAATTCGTAACATAAGATACTTATCGTTTGACAAATACTAATAAAAGTTAATCAAATTTGTATCTTAAAATATTTGAATAGGGTTTATATCACAGTGTAAATTAATTAGAAAATCTATTTCTAGATTTTCAGAAGAATTAAGTTCGTTTTTTGTAAGGAAAATAACGCAAAGCTGGACTCCAAATCATTAAAATCTTAAAAGTTTCTTCAAATTCTTCTCATAATAATGCTAATTAATTTACGGGGAATGTATTCGCTTTTAGGTCAGAGCATATGCAACATAATGACGTCAGAATACTTCCTGTTAGCTTCCCCTACAAGGATCGCTTTGGCGAGGAGTGACACAAAGAAATGACCTAACCCTTCTCTGCCTGCGACTTACTAGGCAATATGTTGTGCCAAAAGACGTGGAGGTAATCATCTCTGTCTGGTCTATTCTGTTCATGATCGAAGCCGATTGCGTGAGTCAGCTCATGAAGGATGATGGCGATTTGCTCGCATCCGGAACCCAATGATAACTCTTGCATTCCTCCCATTCTTCCCCAGGCTGAGTAACATCTGAAAACGAAAACATAAAGTACTTTACTGCTATTGTTGTGCCATTCCTTCACAAGTTGAAAGAGCCAAACCTATCTGAAACGCTAATAATATTTATTATTTAATACAGTCAGTGCTGGGAAATTAAGTACAAAAAATGTTATCGTTGTTTCTAACTCTCCTGATCTGAACCTGTAGCCAACCTAAGTCCACGAATTTTATTATGACCAAGAGGCAAGGATTTCGTCTATCATTAGCAGAGGGCTTAAGCAGCTTCGCATTACTAATTTGCAGGGTTCTGACCCATCTTTATGGAGAGTGCTACTGGCAGGGCAGAGTTTCAGCATACAGCCAACGGTATTTTCCAACCTCCGAATTTCGACAATGAGCTAAAATGACAATTCGGGCAGGTATTAAAGGTGACCACGAAATTGGCTACCGATTAATACTTTAACAGAAAATATATATGACATGCATAGGTCAAGGCATAGTACTGTGCTAAGAGGAAACACAATATGAAAAGTAGCAGTGAATGTAAAACGCATGCAAAAATAAAAATAAAATAAAATGTAAGAAAAGAAACGTCATCTGAACCAGGTAACAAAACTTATATATGCTTAATACAGATAAATAGATAATGCGTAGAAACAAATACAGTCAAAAAGTACAATGCATAGAAACGAAATATTTATGATGGCGACATCAGCAAAGAAGCGAAACTGTACATCAAGATACTCAACCAAGTAGTAGTTACATTCATATAATATATTTTTACATGTGTTTTTGTAGTGTAAAGTTGCACAAGGAATATGGAATATGCTGTTATATTAAAACTTGTATGCAATCAAACAATTAGGAAAAAAGACAACAAAAAATTAAACGTAAGAAAATGTGAGAGATCTTAGATTTTAACAGTCACCCAAAGGGTTAGTTAAGTTTGTTACGTTCTGTCTCCGCTCACAGTCTACCAGTCTGCTCTTGCACTCATTCCTTCCAGCCTCTTGTTTTTGTGTGTGTATGCCTTTCTAGCTTTATTATTAAGCATCATTTTCTTTGCACTTACGCCACCTACAGTTCAACAACAAAATCACAAAAGTTTTAAAAGCTGCATTGCAGCAAATGTTTAGAATTCCTGATGCAGTGTTAAATGTTGGTATACACTTTTATGTTTTTTTCAGTCTTTTCTCAGTTCATCATATCAACATTCAGTTTTCTTAGTAAGATGCCTTGCAAAACATTTCTTTTGTCCCTTTATCGTTAACGTTTTATGTGTTAACTTTATTTATTAAATTGAATGTTCTTCGCACTTACTACACATAAAATTCAGTTCGATAGCAAAATACAAAATATTTGAAAATAGCCTATCTTCATAATTTCCGCCAGGCTGTCTCCCGCGATAGACATAATGATGTATATATTTCTACGCGTTGCGGACAATACTGCCACGGTTCGCTTTCACAACTTTCAGTTTGTTAATTAAAAATTCATTAAAGTTTCCCAAAATATGAAATATAAAATTCGAAATTCATTATTCTGGCTTCCAGCTCCAGGTTGGGGTTGCCTTTTGGGCTGTATGGTAGCCCTTCAACGTTTCAGCTAGTTATGAATATTGTCCTGCGGATAGTGCTAGGGGAAAAACTTGTTTTATCTGTACCTCTATGATATCATCAAATCAGAATCAGTAGAAAAACATTTAGACACTTTTCACGAGGTAAATACGTTATTGAAGGACAAGGGACTGAAGACTGATAGATACGAATAGAAGTTTGCATGTGAAAAATTAAAGTAATTTTTATTTAAAGTAACGCAAGACGTTATTAGGAATTATAAATCGCGAACTGCGGCTGTAAACTTCTAGATGGTAAAAGAACTAGCTTCGTTCCTGAGATTATGTACGTATCAGCTCAGGTTCATAAGAATCTTTGCAGACACTGCAGAATCATTGTTGGAACTGAAGAGGAATAAAGCAAAATTTAAATGGTCAGAGGAGACGAACATGAATTTTGAAGCGCTGAAGCTGATATTCGCGTTGGTACTCAAGGTGCCTGATTTGAAAAGGCCATTCCAAATTTACACGGATGTCTCAAATTATTCCATATATATTTTAATGGACATGCAATAGCCTATTTCAGGTGAACCTGAGCCCTGTAGAATGTAACTGTTCTGCTACCGAACGTAATAATAATGGGATTGTTGCGTAAGACAAAAAAAATTGATTGGATGAAGCTCAAGAAAGTAATTTAAGATTCGAATATCGTCCAGGAGAAAGAAAATAGAGTTGCATATGCGTTGTCTAGAATCAGGAATGACAAAGATGGGAATAAAATTAGTTTTAATATGTTAAAATCGTCCGTTAAACTATATTCCGTCCGTTACGGAAAACATTTGTTAAAGAACTTGTAGTGTCCAGGTGGTTAACTTCTAACTGGATACTGGAGTAGAGGAAACTACACAGAAGAAGGGTTCAAACCCTTTATTAACTCTTTAAAATTTACACTGCGTCAACTCGACGCTAACAAACTTCGCCTCTACTTGGGCAGTAACTGAAAAGCAGGTAATTGAAAATCAGAAGTTGAAATGTCTAACAAGTGCTAAACTAACCTACAGGGATACCGACCTTCGACCCGTTCCCCCTCTATAACTAGTGGCGGCGAATAAATGCATTTAGGCCACCTGAACCAGCAATCAGCAATTGTACTTACGGCAAAGACGGCTGCTCGAGCCCAACTCTCTCACTTCCCTTCTAAAACCTCGATATTTAAACTTTTCTCCTCAGAGTAAAATTTGCATTCACGCCACGCGCACTACCAAATTTAACTATTCTGGCACTGACAATTAGGGGAATGAAGGCTATTAAGTCTGAACTAAAATTTAAATTATTAGTTAAAATAAATATAAATCCCTACAAACTATAGAGTGATATAGAGTTTGTAAAACATTTTAAAGTACCTAAAAATCAAAAATAATTTAGAGAAAGTAATTTTTGAGTAGCGATTAAGGGTAAGGCCAAACATTATGAAGTTATCTCTGATCTCTATCAGTTTTTACAGGAAAAACACAAATACTAATCTTAAATCCAGTTATTTCGGCTACTTTAAGATTAGGCGTATTTCCCGGATTATATGACAGCTTGATTTTGGAGTACATGGGCGGAAATGTAAAAAATTGTAAGAGAGTTTTGGAAGCTGTTTTCATACAAAAGTTAAAAAAACTACGTTTGAGTATATCCAGATTTGTGACACCCAAAAGTGTAAATATGTAAATCTTTCTTCAGCCGCCTACTTAAAAATGAACGTCTAAGTTTAGGTTCTCTAATGCAATTCTCAGAATAAATTTATTCTAACTTTTGGCTAGAGCCAGGTTAACAAATTAAATTTTCTGTTAGTAATCCTAGATCATTTTTTTAAAACTGATGTGAACTGGTATCACTACAGCGCACATCTGCACAGTGATTCGCTGACACAGTTCTAAAACGTTATGTAGGAATACTAAACGTATACTGAAGAAGTAAAATATGAGATGCGGTCAGGAAAACAGCATTACTTTTGGGTATAATAACCATGACATTCAAAGGCAAATTATTTTATAAGGCAGAAAAGAGGAGGAAAAAAATATATTCAGAAGCTAATTGAAGAGGCGTTGAAAACTTCAAACAAGGCTCGAGGAAAGCAAAACCTTTTACGGTTAAAGGCACTAGAAGCTGATCTGAATGTCGGGGATAATATGTTACAAGTGCAACATGATTTGCGATGTCGGAGAAATAGACAACAAGTAAGTAATTTAATCCTAAGTTTGAAGGATCTTATTTAATAGTGAACATATAAGGAAATGTGATGATATTGCATAAAAAGATGGGGCAGACAATTTGTTTAAATATGAACCAGCCGAAAAAAAGTTACGATACTTTGATATTTTGTTGCTTACACAGGCATTCAGCTACTGTCGTGAACATTGTGAGTTTAAGAGAAAATAATGAGCGGTTTGTTAAAATTTAGATCAGATGAAAGATCTTTTAATATATAGCATTTTAATACTATTTAGCACAGTGTAATAAGTTCATTTTACAGTACGCAACATCCTCAAAAATGATCGTTACAACGCAGTTCGATCATTCATCTTTTTTAAACAACAATCTCTCTCGTTGCCATTCCGTAACAGAGAAACTTACCTCTCATGGAGTTCGATAGTGGCGCGACATTCTCCCCACCTTGAGTTTGGGGATACAAACTCAAAACAGTAATATAATGATAATACATACATACAATTTTGAGATAACAATAACGTACATAATAATAATAAGAAATATTTCAAAATATAAGAATGCAAATTGAAATCAGTATTTTAAGAGTTCAAACACAGAAAGTTCAAAAGTTTGTGTAGAAGTTTATAAGTCCAGTCTGTTAACTGGTTTTATTTTTCGCCCTGAGCGAGACACGCGAGCAGTTTCATTAGAGTCAGTATTAAGCTCAGGTTTTTCAGCTATCACTTCCGGAACCTTCTGAGGTTCCGATACGACTTGCTCGTAATTTGGGGTCAATTCCAAAGGGTGCAGTCGTTGGATTGGTCTTAATATGTTTCCCTTTTCAGTTCGCAGTTTCACAAGTCTGATGATTCCCTCTTTTCCTGGAAAGAGTTCCAGTACACTCCCTAGCAGCCAGTGGAGCCTTTTTTTTATCATCTGTACCAATTAACACTATGTCACCTACATTTATTTTATCTTCTCTTTTGTTAACTGAAGAACGAAGGAAACCCAGATACTCCCTTTTAAACCTTCGTGTTAGATTTTCACGAACCTTTTGAATATGTCTCCATCTCAAAACAATATTAGTCTTTTCAATTTGATCCAAATCAGGAACATCATTTAATGGAATCTTCTGAAGAAACATTGAGGGAGTCAAGGTCTTCAGCTCTTGTTCCTCGGATATTTAAGTTAATTCTGCTATTCATGGCAGATTCACATTCACAGACGAGAGTCTGCAATTCCTCGTAAGACAAACAGGAGCGTCCAAGATTTTTTCTCA